ATCCATCCATCCATCCATCCATCCATCCATCCATCCATCCGTCCATCCATCCATCCTCCATCTCCACCACCCCCCCATCTCCAGCTCCTCCCAACCCTCCTTCCTCCTCCTCCTCCCGGCCAACCGACCACCTTCTCCTCCTCCTCACCCAAGCAGAAGGTGCTGATGGTGGACACCAAGGGTTCCTTGAGCGACGGGTGGCTGACGCTGCAGGAGATCTCGCTGCCCTTGTCCCAGCTCTGCCGGCTGACGTTGACCTTACTGGTGAAGGTGGTCTGGTCGAGGGAGCACTGGGAGCAACTGGAGTCCTCCTGGCTGAGGTCCACCACCTTTTGGTCCACCAACCACTCCACCTGGGCTTCGCTGGCAGATGTGCCCTCCACCAGGCACACCAGGTGGACCTCCTCGGGGTGGTCCTGGCTGGGGTCCACCAGGAGTGTCACCACGGGGGGGAAATCATCTGGACAGACGTCACTACCTGAAGGAGAAGCAAGAGGTCACGGCAACGAGTCTTGGTGGGCACCCAAGATGGCGACATGAGGTTGGGAGTGAGGTCAACCCATCTTGGTGGCCACCAAGACGTCAACTCAAGACTGGGACCAGCTGCAACCCATCTTGGTGGCCACCAAGACCTCATGGAAGGCTGAGACCAACGTCAACCATCTTGGTGGCCACCAGGACGTCAACCCAAGACTGGGACCAACTCCAGCTCATCTTGGTGGCCACCAAGAGGTCAACCCAAGACTGGGACCAGCATCAACCCATGACTGGGACCAACTCCAACCCATCTTGGTGGCCACCAAGACCTCATGGAAGGCCGAGACCAACATCAACCATCTTGGTGGCCACCAGGACATCAACCCAAGCCTGGAACCACCTCCAACCCATCTTGGTGACCCCCAAGCCCTTCTCCAAGCTCAGGAGCCCCACCAACCATCTTGGTCTCCCCTCCTCACCATTGATGACCTCGCTGATGGTGCCGGTGGAGCTGTGGACCACCTGACAACGGAACGAGTTGCTCCTCAAGCTTCCGGCTGGAACGGTGAGCTGGGAGGTGAGGCTGTAGAAACCGTCGGATTTCCAGAATTCCGGAGAAGTCTCGTTGGTGACTCCAGAAGCTCCGGTGACCCACGTGACGGTGACGGGCGACGGGAAGTAGTCGTCGACCCAACAACCGATGGTCACCTGGTCCTCCTCACAGCTGGTGCCACAGGGCACCAACGGGTAGACGGTGGGAGCGCCGGAGGTCACTGGGGAGGAGAAGATGGCGGCCATCTTGGTTTCTCCCCTTGGTGGCCATTTTGGACCCGTTCCCATGCGGCCATTTTGGACCCGTTCCCACGCTCCCCTGGGGTGGAGGTGGTGGGAACGGGACTTGTGGTGGCCCCAAAAGGTGATGTGAAACCACCGGTGGTGGGGTCACCTCCAGAAGAGGAAGTTCACGGCGGCGTGAGGACTTCCTGCCCAGACGGGTTCCTCATCTTCCACCT